AGTGGGAATGCTTCACACTGCGCAGACATCTTAGGAAGTCAAAGGAACTGTGTCCAGACCAGGGACCTAGCAATGTATTTCCTCCTCTGTAATCTGTAATGCTTCTCTGCTTCACAGTCTTTTCATTCTTCATTGTTGGTAGTACGTTACATGTTGTAGAAACAGCTTTGCAGCCTGTCAATAACTTTCTTGGGGAGCCAAAGGAACTTAATGGCTCTAAAGCTGCTGTTCAGAGAATCATATAACTTCGTTTGGTCATGCTCAGCTGACATTGGGTCAGCCTCATGTACCTTTGGTGCTGCCCCTTCTGTCTCCAGACTTATCTTCATGTGCATCTTCAGTCTTGGAGAGAAGCTTGGGAAGCAAAGTGCTGCTCAGGATTGCAGTGCAGATTCCCTGTCTCCTATATTCTTGCCTTGATTTACCAAACGAGGTGTGCTTGTCTTCCCTTAGCAAAATCTAGTTGAATTCTGTTTTTCTAAAGAGAGTAATACAGCACTTGTTTAGAGGGCTGACAACACATCAAGTGTTTAGCAGCAAATACAAGTGGGAAACAGGCCTTATGTCTTCTCAGTTGGATGGGAAAGTAGCACTGTTGTCTGCAAAAGGTATCCCACCTCTGTTTTCCCTGCTCTGTTGATATACTGAAGCTAGAACATTTGTTTGCTACTCTTTGACCTTATTTCATACCTAGTCCATGCACACTTGTAAGAATGAATTTTGAGGCAGTGTCTGCTGGCTCTTCGATGACAGCTCAAAGGAGCATGTGTTGCCCTAAATGATTTGCTTTGCACACTTTGTACCTGTGATCTCTAACACCCACACTCCCTCTTGCCATGGGTTTTTTTTGTCTAGTTCTACATCTCTCTTTTCACCCTGGTGCAGTCCCTGTGTGCACCTTGCAGCTGCTTAACCACAAACAACTGAGTCTGGCTGGGAGGGCATGGAGGCAAGGCTTCTCTCTGCTCTTGAAACATCACCCTAATCATTTTCTTTGAAATAATACTCTGCATTTTTTAATTTGTACAAATTCCTTGTCTTGAGCCCTGTGAGATCAGCAAGAAGAGAGGAATTCTTTTGAAACCCAGTGGGCAGTACGCTCTGGATATGTGTGTACATTGCAAAGTTACCAGTCTTTCAGTTGTTGACTCAGTTATTTTAGTTATATATGCTAAGTTATAGCCAGAGATGACAAAAGTGAACTTTACGTTTTTCAGAGCGTAGTCTTTTCCCACATTTTATTTGTTGCTGTCTTCTGTGATTTTTTTTTTTTACTTTTAATTCCCTTGGGGATGCTCTAGAAGTGAAGAAGGTCATGCTCAGAGTGTGAATTTTACCCCGATTTCTCAAAATTAATTCTGATGGGAACAGTAGCATTCATCTCTTCCATCATATTTTCCAGACAGAGTGGTTTCTTCTGGGGATCAACACGATTTGGAGAAGGTTTAATTAGTGCTGTTCTGGGTTGTAGGTGTGTGGAGTGGGTGTTCAGTGGGGTCTCTGAGCACAAGTGGAGCTATGTGGAACTGGCTAGAAGTATGATGGGAAGGCAGAAATACAGCTTGTTGCTTGTGATTATAAAAGGCAGTTGTTAAATCAGGAAAAGTGATCTGCAGGTAATTGTAACTCTTGTTCTGGATGTATGGGATTGGCTAAGGTGGAAGAGGCCAAAAAAACCCACCTCTAGCTGGAGGTTCTGATATTTAATACAGCATCCTAAGTGCCATTTGTACTGCATTAAAGTATGACTGCATCTGGTTATCCCCTTGCTGGACTTGGAAATGAGCTATTTGCTTCTCTGACACACTTATAGTCTGTGCATTACGTTTGTCTACTTCACTTGCTCAGTCTGCAACCTGTAAAGGGATTTTTATAATTGGCTGAAGAACACTGAGAAGTGTTTTAAGCCTCTAATTTTGGATTGAGTGTCTTAGAGGAGATATTATCAGTTGGCCCCTGAGGAGACCATGTTTATTGAGAGGGAAAGGGGAGACAAATCTCTTGTGTGTGAGCTTGGCTAAACCACTGTTGGCCTAATCCAGAAAGGCTGCCAGGTACTTTGGAAGAGGTAAGAGTCACGTACTGGGGTTTTGCTTTCCTCTAGAGTCTTTGCAGTTGAGTGGAACCAAAGTCAGCCATGATGGGAAGGACTTGTAGTGAATTAAGGTGGTTGAAGATACAAAACACCTCTTTGCATAGGGGACAGATAGCTATGTTAACGCAACAGCTTCAAGACACTGAGTGTGATCAACATTTAATCTTACAAATATCTGTGGTACTTGGGTTGGTTCAGTTTTATTTGTCCTAATATACTGAGATTTTAACTATAATAATTATTATAGTATTTATTCATAGATATAATACTGCTATATCTGCAGTTTCAAAATGCAATGGAAGATGTTTATTCTTTGAGGGTGGTTAATATAACTAGAGAATTATTAGTAAAGGTAGGAAAAAATTCAGTAATAAGTGTTAAGTGTTTGTTTTCATTGCTGTTATTCTTTACTAGTTTATTTAAAACAGTATATCCATACATTATTGCACAGGCAGTTCATTCTCAGGGTCACTTCTTAGGCTGTAAAATAGTGCTTCTTGTAAACACTTTACCTTGAAAATGGACAGCAGAGAAAAGCTGCACTCTTTAAAATATAAAATTTACCATTAATTATGTATTTTTTCCTTTTTTTTTATTTTCTGTGGGTCAAATACTGCTTTCTGCATCTCTGCCTAGGACTGCTGAACTTTAAAAAAAAGTGCAGTTATTTTGCCACGTTGTGGTGGGAGTGCAGGTTGACAGTGTTCTGAGGCAAAGTACCTCTCTCAGTGTCCGTGAGAGAACCCAGTTCACTTGCTGTAAGTTAAAGGAATTTTTGCTGTCTGCCAGCAACAAGGATCTGCCTGTTCTAGGAAAAATCTTTTGTGGGCAGAGTTACTTCATGTCTTCCCTTGCTTTCCCACTTGCTCCCAGTCTTGTCAAACTGCAGTTTTCAATTGTTAATCTGCAATATATGCTAAGAGTGACAGCAAGAGCATGCTAATGGCTAAGGCAAACTTGTAGAAGTGTCTTGTAATTTGGAACAGTGGGAAAAGTATTAAAGTTAGCTTGGCTGAATAGCACAAATTAATTACCAATAAATTACCAATCCCCTGACAAAAAATGTGGGGCTACTGTCCTCAGCAGCTGATGCCAGTGTAGCGTGTTGCCAAGGCTGTATTTGTGTATTGCACCGGTCATCTCTTCTGTGCTGATTCATTCAACTCCTGCTAAGGTGCACTTGGAAGAGCAAGTGATAAGGAATGAGCAAAGTCAGTCTGTGCTGTGCATGTGTAGTGTGAAATGGAGAGAGACCCTCGTGAAGCTGGTGCTGACTGGACCACCAGGCGTAGTCTCTGGTACACAGGACTAGATGGGGCTGCTGAGCTGCCTTTCCTTGCCAAGACTTCTGTTGTTAGGTCAGACTTAGAAATATTTCCAGCTGCCAGGTGGGATGACGCGAGCGTGAACTTTTGGCTGCACTGAGAAACCTGCTCACACAAAGCGAGTGCGACGCTGTGCACACTTGCTCCAAGGAGAAGGCTGAACAGGGGTGCATGAGCTAAGGTCAGCAGTGCAAGTACCCTACAGCCCAGTCAGTTTGGGCTCCCCTGCTCTCTGGGAAAGCAGAAGATATAGAAATGCTCCATCTATTTTCAACAGGTAAAATAACTCTCTTTACTAGAATAAGTGGGCAGGAAGGAGACTCTGAGTTCCTTATGGAATTTGTAGGGTGACTAGAGAAGCTGAACTTGAGGCACTGCAGTTTAGTATCGAGTTTTGTCCCCGTCTTTGGCTCTTTGACCGTCCAATGTGGACCTGTATTTTATGTGTCCTCTGCGAAGCTTGGGGTACCTGCTTATATTTCACCCCTTTTCACACAGGGTTATTTTGAAGCTAAAACTGTTGCCCTTTTTGGGGCTTGAGGATATAGAAGAAGAAGGAAAAATTGGAAACAAAAGTTCCATGGTAGGGGGCATCAAAGTGTTGCAATCTGTGAGTCAAAGCTAATAAACGTTATTTTGGGCTTTCTTGGGGAGGAAAAAAGGCTCTGAGTCAGATTCTTAAATTCACAAGTGTAGTTGGGACTGGAGTTGAGAACTCAGGCCGAAACTTCTTGCATGGATGGCTAAATCAGGGTCTTACGCACATTACTGATGAGTGTTAGATGTTCTTCACTATGATATTTATACCATTCACACATGCTGCTCATTCTGTGTTGTGAGCTGCCTTTGCAGTCATCACATACATCCTTGAGATGTCACACAAAGTTGAATCTCAACACCCTTTGAAGGCTGTGACATTTCATAAAAGTAGGATGAGGACTAAAGCTTGCTTCAGTGATGAGGAAGCAATTAAAATTACTTAGGTCACAGCCTTAAAATTGGTCTGGTTCAGGCTGAACTGTTTGGAAGCTCATATAAAGCTTTAAAAAGCCTCAGAAACAGGAGGGTAAATCCAGACAGAAGGCAATGATCTGCTCTGGTGTCAGCTTGAGCTGCTTCAGTGACTTCAAGGATGAAAGCACGTCCATTGGGACAGAGACTTGTGTGTGCATTGATAATGAAGGAAAGACATTGCCTATTGTTTTATGTGGGGAAATGAAGGCTTGTTGTGGGTGTGAATCTTCTTCGTAACAGTTGATGTGTCTGTGTAATGTCTTGGAAGATCTGAAATAGTGGCTTTTACTTGTTTTCAATCAAAGCTTCCTGTAGCTGTCTGCAATGAGCAGGAAAATCAAAGCAGAAGTCAACCTTTGGTTCTTGGTTTTGACTGACTCTGTATAAAGGCAGGGACAGGACTATAGTTCCCCATATTATCAGTGTACTCAAACTGGTGTAAACCCTTCTGCTCAGCCTGGGAACAACATTGAGGGTCCCAGAATGAGTCAAAAGGCATCATATCTGTGCTGTCATATGCTTGTGTGCTTTGAGATTGACTTTATACCCATGGCTTTTGACTTAAGCTGTTCTTCATTGGGACCTGAGAGAAGAAGAGCAAAGTACCTTTTCCAAAGAAGGAGCCTCTCTGAATTTGGGAATGGTCTGTACTCTCCTGCCTCTGCGTCCATGCTTGTTTGTGGTGTGTAATGATAGTTGCCTGCCTTTTGTACATTTTTTTTTTTTCTATTGCTGCTGATAGGAATATAGAAAGTTTTGTTTTGTTTTGTTTTTTTAATAGGTATATTGCAGTGGATCTGAAGTTGATATAAGAAAGAATTGCTTCTGGGAAGAGAAACCTCCCTGTAAGGCCAGCCCTGAAGATGTGGACTGCCATTGTATTCTTCCTGCTGATTTCCTTCTCTATATGTGAACACGGGTTTTCTGTCCTAAAGGGGAGAGGAGTCCATGTAGTGCAAATAAACAGGCTTACAACTGAAAAACAATGCAGGGAGGCTTGTCAAAGCCCAGGTGCTTCAGGTGAGGTTCTTGTCCCTTAGATGGAATTCCAACTGTGTTTTCTGTTCCTTGAAGGTCTCCACTGCTCCCCTGACAACTTTCTTTCTTAATTCCAGTTGTTTACGGGCTTTTACAGTTGTGCTTCTCTGTGCAGTGCTGTAGTGCTAAGTAACTTCTGACAGCTTTGGTTAAATTGAATCCAGAACAACTGTTTCCCAGGGCCCTTCTAGCTTCTATAAGAAACAGCATGCATGTGCTCTTGGTGTGCACTGATAGCGTGCAAGCAGTGTTAGGTCACTTGAATTGAAGAGTGATTATTCCATTCTGCCAGATGTTTGCAAGTCAACAGTGCTCTTGTAGACAGCTGCACTAGAACGAGTAGTCTTTGTTCCCTGCTATGTTTTTCCTGCCTTAGAAGAAACTACTTGTATCCTGCAACTGAGCACAGGGTTAAACAAATCTGGTGAGATGAAAGCCTTCTGCTCACTACCTCTGGGATGTCCTTATAAAAGCATTAAACTTCTAAATGAGTTTGAGTTGTCCTTATGAAGGTCTCAATCCTATCTAGCCACACGTGAAAGCTCAAAAAGCTGGTGATGTTGTCATGAAGATGAGGCCTTGGCTCAGGTGAATGAATATCTGACATTCAGATTGTTAGGAACATAATAAAGATGCTGCTTTTAATGGCCAGGAGTTTCAAAGCTCTAGTTCAAACATGAGACATTCCTTCATAGTGGAAACAAAGTACCTTTATAAATTGTTTTATTTAGGAGATAAAGTAAGGGTGAGTTTGTTTCCCAAGGCACCAGGGCTGTGAAAACTCCAGGTTCTGTTTTTTAAGGTGGTAAACCCTAGACAGATGACACGTTCACACTGACTGTGCGGACACTTAAGGTCTGTAGCACTTCATGTTGGTGTGTTCCACCTGACAATCTCTAAATTCTATGCACGTGTCATCCTTAACCTTTTGATGTATTGATAGGGTAGAAAAGGTCATCAACTGCTTTTTCCAGAAGAGAAACATAAAGAATTTAGTTAGTCTGCAATAAGGGCTACAACATGATTTGGCTGCGTGGTTGGCCCTGTTGCTGACTTTAACCACTTCGTTGTCTCCTGATCTGTTAGTACAGAATAAGTCCAGTTGAGTGTTAGCTTTGTTGAGCAGAGGGTTTGAGCCTCTACAATTAGGTGACCCATTCCGTTTCAGGAAACCGTGCGAGACTGAACCCAAAAGCATAAACTTTTTTAAGTTTTACGTTCTATATTAAATGTACTGAAGCAATTTAATTTCTATTTGTTACTTGATGGCTGGTCTGTTGCACTACCTGGTGTCAAGGGAGGTGGAAAAGATAGAAACTCTTGACATGAATGTATGTGCAGAGAGATCATCTGGAAAGAAGGACCTGAAATGTTTTTATTTGTTATTAGCTTTAGGTTTTAAGATCAACTTTACTGATCTCATTCTCCATTCTCATCTTCCCCAACAATATTTTTTTTGTGTTTTCTGTCATTACAGACATGAGACCTGAGGCTTAGTTGTCAGAATAGTTACACATATGTAACTGTTGGTAAAGAAGCAATAGATATTATTTTTTAAGATATTATAGTTTTAAGTTGTAATCTCCAGTTGCACAGGGAGATGTCTTCATAGCTACATTGCTTGGAGAAGTGGAAAAATAACATTCCCAGCTGGTTAGGCACTCTTCCGTAGATGTAATTTGTACCTTTGCTGACATAACATCAGTTACTTATGGAAGTAGTGCAACTACCACAGCAAAAAGGGACCTTTTGAAGTTCCCTGGTCCAACTCCAATTTAGATCTGTCTGTTCAAGAACTGATGGAGAGACCTCTCTGGCCCCCAGCCCAGCATTGGGGTGCCCTTGTGCTAGAAACTAACTTTTGCCCTTGATGTTGAGTTGGGATTTGCTGTAAATCATCTGCTTCAGGCCCTCAGACGTCTAATAGTCTCCCTTGGACTCACTCCAGTATTTCAATACCACTCTTGTAAGCTAGAGAACCCAAAACTGGGCATAGTGTTTAAAATGCCTCCTCAGTATTTGCTGGAGGAGGTTCATTCCTTCCCTCAGAGCTTAGTTATGTATACGTAGATATGTAGAAAGAAGTTAGTCAGTTCAAAGGGATGCCAGGAAAGCGATTTCTTGCTGTGATGAGTTTATTTAGCTTGTGTTGGGATTTGACTTAGTAAAAGACAATTTCTGTGATGCCTCCCGTGGCTAATGGTATCATTATTCAAAGAATGAAGAGTGAATTTCTGTGTAACTCCAAGCACTGAGATGAGAGCTGTCTCCTATGAGTGATGAGATGGATGTCTACTCAGTTTTGGCTCATTTATTCTTTTTCCCTCAGTAAGATATGTAGATGAATGCTAGCATTTACATGAGAACAAACTGTAGTGCACTTTCTTTGTCCCTGCCTGGGTGAGTGAATTGCTGTTGTTAGGAGATGTTGGTACCAGAAGACAAGCAGGTAGGTAGGCTGCAGCTCCTATATTGATTTCATTGGCTTTCCAGTTATTTTCACCAAGGCTGAGTCAGGATCCTTTTAAGGCCAGACTTTCTAGTTATTGTGTGGGTTTGGGGTTTTTTTTGTGGTTTTGTTTGTTTGTTTGTTTTTTCCAATTCTTTAATTAAAGCTATGAAGCAGCATGTTTGGTATGTTTTGTGTAGCAATGCATTTTCTCTGCTGTTTTCAGGAAACCGTCACTGTAATTGGTCTATGCCCTACCAGAACCACTGCATCTTCTTGCAGTGTCACCAGCTGAGTGTGTGCCAAAATGCTGGAGAACAAGACATCAAAGATCTACTTGGAGGTAAAGCCATGTTTCAGGTTCCTAGTGAATCCAGGATCCTGGTTCTTTTGCTTTAAATGCCTATGTTTAGACCTTGATAGGCTTTCAGCTGAGGGAGATGGATTGTGAAATGCCTGTAGGATAATTCTGTAGGTAGAGTTGATTGGAATAACCACGACCTAAGGTTTCTGGCACCTGCACGTGCAGGCTCTGTCTTTGAATAACTTTTGTAACTGTTACCGAGTAACAGTTTGTTTCCATGTTGAAGACATCATTCATTCAAGCCATTTGCATGCCACACGCTGTCCTTGTGAAAATAAAGTCATAACAGATGTATTTATATTTTTTTCAGAGAAAGGAAAATGTCTTGGCATTGTTTTTCTCTCAGATTGCCAGAATTTTGTTCCAGAGTCAACAGGCTGCTTCTATAATCAGAGCAGCAATTGCTCATGGTGACTTTCCAGTGCCAGGGTATTGAATTTTAATTAAGTGACACAATAACAAAATGGAGCTTATTCGTAATTGAGGAACCAACCTTTTAAAGTATGTTTCAAGAAATCACTGTACCCCAGTTTAAAAAAGAGTTTGTTCATGGTTCTTTTGGGTTGGCAAAGGTTTCTCTGCAACACACCAACCAGACCTGTGATAAGCAGATGGGGTTTATGTCACTATAAATCTAGCTCACTAGTTGTGAAGGAAATTATCCTGATGTAGGGAGGTGTAAGTGGGAATTTCTGCCCATTTTTGAGAGGTGAAAATTATGAATCTAAGCCCAAAGGCTTTGTCAATGATGTGTAACTTTGAAAGCATGAGTCTTCTTCTCAGGAGCTGACATTTGTAATGCTGCTCCTGTTGATAATGTGCTTCTGCATTGTAGCTCTCTACTTGATTACTCCTCTTTTGTGAAATTAATTCCCCGGTTGGGTAAATACTAGAGGTCTGTGGTAAAAAAACTGAACCAAACCAAAAATCCTCAAAGGGATTATGTGCAATAAAGACAGGGCGGGGGGGGGGGCTGAGTTTTCATGTTCTTGCTTAATTCAGGACTGATTTATTCCAGTTGTACTATGTCTACTGCAGAATATGTGTTGTGGTGTGCATGTTGGGGGGTTGAGGTTAGATTTGAGCTTGAGAGTTTTATTCTTACAAAACTCATTGTTTTTTTCTTTTTGAAGAAATTGTCAGCAGGAAATGGGAAACAGTCCTGTTTCCCCACCAAAGCTATCCACAGAAGAAGGAGAGGATGCTGAATGCACAGGTTGACCAACGCAGTGTGGAAAACCTGTTTTCCTCAACTGCTCAAACTCACAAAATTCATTTGAGGCATTTGCTTGGGTTTGAGAATGAAAATGTCACAGCAAATACAAGCAAATCAATTGCAAGCAGTGCTACCACTCCTACTGCCCCAGCTGTAACAACAAACATTACAAATGGAAGTGTCTTCATTACCACTTATGAAACAACTGCCAAAGCTTCAAATGCCCCTGGAGGTTCTGATAGCATTGCTAAAACCATGCAATCCACTGCCTTTTCTCCCACTTCTGGTAACATCTTTTCTTCCACTTCCAGCCATGTCACCCAGATTGTGGTCACCAGCCAAAAATCAGGAAATAGTAGCTCTGTCTCAGTATTGTCCCCCACTTCTACTTCTGCTCCCCTCACTGTTACTTCTAAGGCAGGTACTCAAACAGAGCAGTCTAACCCAGCTACCACCACCACCACCACCACCAGTGCTCCCCATTCTAACAGCCCCACCACTGCTGGAGCTGACCTGAAGACACTGGCCACAACATTGACCACCCTCATCCCACAGGATGCAAAAACATCTTCCACTGCTACCAGTCATGCCACGACACTCAAACCCTTGGAGAGTTCTCACTCTGCGAATCCACTGCATGTCAGCACACTGCCAGCTCTAAAGCCAGAAGCAAGTACAAACACAGGATCCTTGAGTGAATCAACTTCTCTTCTGGGCTCCACAAGAGGTGCCATGGTTTTAACTACAGCCTCTACAGTAGAAACTACGACTGGGCACGGGATAAAGTCAACATTTGACATCTTTTCAACAACCATGGCTCCAACAGATGCACCCAAAACGACAGCTTTGGACCTCACAGAAACTCAGGACAAAGACAATGAGTACCTTCTCATTGCTGCCGAGCCTCTGACTCAGTACTTGGTGGATAAAAGTTCACTTCTTGCAGTGCTTTTAGTTGGTACGGTTTTCTTCATAACTGTTATAGTTCTTTTCCTCATGCAGGCCTATGAGAGCTACAAGAAGAAAGATTACACACAAGTGGATTACCTGATCAATGGAATGTATGTGGACTCAGAGATGTGAAGGGGTGGGAATAATACAGTAGGCAGAGAGGTGGAAAGGAGTTTCAAAGTCTGCCTGACTTGTTTTTCCTTCCTATTTGCCTATAACACAAACTGAAAGTGCTTCCAAATTTACTTCTAGTGCAATTGAGGAGAAATGCCATGTACTGTATTAAGAAGAAAAAAAATAATTTTTTATTTAACTGTGCAACAAGTTGCTGTAAAAACGTAAAAAGAGGAATAATTTTTAACATTTTCATAATGCACAATAGCTTTGGCCATTATTTTTCATTGCAAAACAAACCTAACAAGGGGTAAGCTACCACCCTCTGAAAATGCTGTAGCGCTTCTTCAACTGTGCAAGTTGAAGTTACACTGCAAGTTCCTCGTGTTCCATTTGTTTCACATGTGCTCCTTGGAAAACAGAGCAAAGGATGCTGTCACCTTTTGTGAAATGCTCCCAAACAGCCGGATGAGAAGTCTGGAGTATTGTTGTAACAGGGAACTTTTAATCCAGTGTGTGTCATATTTCAGTATGCTTCTTGCTTGTAAAGAGGTCTGTTTACAAGGTATTGTAAACCCTGTTTACTGCTAACCTAAGATCTCTTTTCACCACGGAGTGGATTACTGTGCCTCTGCACTTAAATGATCTTATTTTTGTATTCAGTTAATAAACGGGACCCTGGAAGGGCATATTTTGTTGTGTTTCTGTTTTCATTCCTGTCCCTGCTGGTTCAGAAGCAAGCAAATGGGCTTCTGGGGCTTAAGCAAATTACCTCCATTTCAGTATTCCAATTATGGGAGCTTTGAAGACCTCACTGAAGGCATGGACATGTCTGAGAAGATACTGATCATCTTCCAGAGTACTGCTTCTGTAATTTAAGACCAGTATGCTACCAGTCTCCCAGGTATGCAGACCCACTTATTGCCTATTATCTTTCATGCTTAGAGCATCAGGCTCTGTTTTGGTTTTTCTTTTGCATTTAGGACCAGCACAGAGTTCTTAGTATTTTGGAAACTTTATTGCGCATGCAGTTGCAACTTTCCTCCCAAGATCTACATTTGAAAGAATGAGTAGAAAACACTTGATTTTTAGGCAAGTATTCTTCAGTGATTAATGTGTCTTGAATGACACATACATACCATTAGCAAAATTATGGTTCAAGGTCTGTTCTTGTTTTTTTAACCATATTGATAGCTTCTCTCTTGCTTTGAATTTGTTGGCTCTTCTTAATCCTGCTTACACATAATCTGGAGTGAGGGTGATAATAAGTAAACCTCAGAATCTGAGCTGCTGAGTTTTGGTTTCATTATTTATTCAAATTCTTCAGCTGTCTAGAATTTGGAGGGAATCTTTACCCTAGAAGAGGTTACTTTGTAGACGACTTCATCATCAGTTGAAAGTGCTATGAAAAGAAATGCAGATAGCACAAGCAGCAAAAGATCCAAGGCATTGTTTGAACAAAATAGGCTGGAGAGAGTTTCCTGAATCTTACCCAACTCAAATATTGAGGTCAAAACTTCAGCAAGTAGAGTATGTTGAGCAAAGAGATTGCTTTGGAAGTGAGATAACTTGGTTGTCAGCATCAGGTTGCATTTTGCAGTACTTCCGTGTGGACCACATCTGCACGGCAGTAGGTTAGAGCATCTCTCAGGGTAAAAGAACAGGGAATCTCCCTCCTTGGAGAACTTGAAGTATAAGCCACAAAATTCACACCATGTTTCCTGGAGGGGGAAAAAATGTTTGAGGATCTCAATTGTACTGTATTTTAAGATTATTATTAATTGGTTTGCTCTGAGCAGAAGGGATCCCACCTCTGATTTCTTCCATCTTTCAGGAGCCACTCGTGTATTGCATCTATGCAACAAGGTGCTGGGAACATCCCCTAGCACAGCTGGGGAGTTGCACCCTGTTGAGATGCTTGGGACTGTTCACCTCTCAGCACAACTGTTTTGAGCTGTTAGCAGATGTCTGGCAGATGCTGCTCTACAACCACAAAGTCCAGAGATTTATCTTTACATGGGGATCTCAGGTTTTGCCTTAATTGCAGGTGAGTCACTAACCACAAACCTAAGCATGTGGTCTTTGAGCTCTGCTCCAGATAACTAAGATAAGAGCTGTCTCCTCGGCTCCCTGCCATCTCCCAAGTAAGGAGGTGAGCGTTACCTCGGATTCAGCTCACTTCTTCTCCTCCTCGTTTAGGTGTCTTGGATAAATGCATGCATTTTGACAGGGTAAATCCAGAAAATAGTGGATTTTAATTTATTGTCCTTTTAGTTTGTCCCTGTCTATGTAAGTGAATTTCTGCCTTTAGGAAGTGCCTTCCTGCATAAGGGGTCAGTGTTGCAGTTGTTCTGCTAGTGCTCTGCAGTATTTTTTTTCTAAATTGCCTGAGCCATTTCCACAACAGAAATCATGATCATCAGACTTATAATCGCTTATCCTAGATATGGGGAATTTTCTGAATGAACTTTGCACTCACTCTGGCTTGCTTTCTTTTGGTCTCTGTGGATCTGTTTGTAGACCCAAAGTTGGACACCAGATTCTGTGGAGTGGAAGTCTGTGAAGTTGCACTGATTTTTATTCTCCTCTTTGAAGAGATATTAGACTCCTCTACTGATTTGTTGGAGAGAGTAGGAAGGGAAGGGAGAGAAAAGTAACATTACTTAAAAAAAACTCTTGAGTTTTTCTGTTCTGAAAACAGATACTTTTGAAGATTGGTTTATTAAAAACAAATAAAACCCTTCAGGGATAATTTAAGTGGGGATGATATAATTACAAGAGTTGAAACTGGGTTACAACTCTATTTACAAGAGTCTAAGGGAGTTTCTCATGGACACAGTGAGAATATTACAACTACATCATGGCTAAATGAAACCACCTCTATAAAAATCTTTGTGGCTTTTTAGCAGGTTCTTACAGGAAGGTGAGTACTCCTCAGAATCTTGATGCAGTTCCCACAGCTCTGGTATGTTTACATCCAGGTATCCTCATCAGATACTAGCACAGCCTGTCTTTTCTGTTCTTATTTGAGTTACTGCACTTCCAAGTGTGAATTACTTTCTTAGCAGAAACTGAGCTTTTTAGTGTTAGGCTGAGCACCAGAATGAGTCTTAGCTCAGAATGTTTCTGCACACAAGGTGGAGATCTTTGTTTGCTGTAGAATCATGGAATGATTTGGGTTTGAAGGGAACTTTAAAAGTCATCTGGTCCAAGCCCCCTGCAATGAGCAGGGACATCTTCAACTAGATCAGGTTGCTCAGATCCCCATCCAACCTGATCTTGAATGTTTTCAGTAATGTGGTGTCTGCCACCTCCCTGGACAGCCTGCTCAAGTGTTTCACCCCCTCATCATAAAAAAATTCTTCCTTATTTTTAGTCTCAATCTACCATCTGTTAGTTTAAATCCATTACCCCTTGTCCTATCTCAGTAGTGCTCAAAGTGCAGTTTAAGCTGGAGAAATGTGAAGTAGGTTTTCCTTTGCGTCCCAATGGTTTTGTCTCATACTAGCTCAGTTTAGACATTAAAAATCACAAAACCTGGGCTGGAGCCTGGCCTCTGAAAGTCAAGGTGTGTTTTCTAGCTTGTACATTGAAACCCAGCTGTAAAGATTTGGCAGCTTTGGTGGCTCTGTTTTTTTTTGTCTAGCTACTTGTAAGCATTGAAAAAGGAGAGCAGTGGGACTGTGGAAGGTGGGTTGCATGTGCAGTTTTCTAAAGGTCTCTTCTGTATTGGTGACTTGATATGCAAGTCTAAAGTGATTAGGATTTCTTCTCTGCTAACTCATCAAGCTAGAGGTCACCAGCAGCAAACATACACTTTGTTGTTGCCCCCCAACTCATGGTTTCTGTCTAGGCTAAAACCAGCCTCCTGGAATGGCTTCACTTGTTTCGCTTTTGAGGCCTTGTATGGTGGCACATCTGCTGCATCTCATGGTGCAGTATTGCAATAGTTAATAGCGAGTATGTTAAGGGAGAAAATGCAACACCTTTAGAATTTTGCTTGCAGAATTCACCATATAACAATAGATAGGGTCCTACCAAGTTCTGTAGAAGATGTCTGCCAAAGAACTGCCAAGAACAACATTCTGCTGCTGTGAAGCATAGCATATCTGATGCATGTTGGGTTTCAACCTGTTGCATGGCCTCTTTCTCAATAAAACAGGAACATCCTGGAATTACATTTAGATTAGATTAATTCTGAATGTCACCTCCCTCTTACTTCTAACCTGTATTAGAAGTATGTTGCTCTAGACAAAAGAGAAGAAAGGAAATAATGGAATATTAAAACATTTAAAGGAATAGTAGGAATGAAGAACTTTTCAACTGCAAATATGAGTTTGCAATATGACATGTGGTGTCCAGAGAATTAAAGAACATATGCAGAACTCTTAAGCATGACCTTTAAAACAGCTAGTCAATGTAGTTGGAAAATGCCCAGGAAAGTCTGGAAATGGAGGTATCACGGAGGTTGTTTCTCTGGATTTGTCTGGTGGCTGCTCATTTTTGGCATCACAAAAGGAAATCTGAGCATTGCTCTACTAAAACATTCCTAAGGACTTTTTCCACTGTGGGTTCTCTGGCATGCAGTAAAGGAAGTGTCCTTGCTTCAGCTGGGGAAGAGTTAACTTTCTTCTTAGTATCTCCTCCACTGCTGTGTTTTGGATTTAGGGTGAGAAAATTGTTGATAACACTGATAATTTAGTTGTTGTGCTTGCGCTGCTTTGTTACTTAGTTGCCAGTTGGGGTTAAACTGCGACAGCAAGTTTATATTGCAACACCTCCTAGACCGGGGCAACTCCAATTTTCTCCTTTCCATGGCCTCTAAGTCTCATGAAACTTAATTTCCTTTGTTGTGCTTGGCTGAAGTTGGCCCGTGGGTTCAAAAGCAAATGCTTTCATCTTGCACAAAGTATCAGTTTGTAAGTGTGCTTTTCTAGAAGAAACCAGGCTAAAGAAAGTTCTAAAGAACGCAGAACCTGGAGCTGTATTGATTCCTCCCTGCTAGAAGACCTAAGTAGTTCAGGGTTAGGGATTGCTTTGACTTTTTGGTCTTGCTGGTTATTGTGGGGAAAGCTGGTCTTTGCTCTTCTGCATTTTGGCTCAACGTCCTTGTAGTTTCGTGTCCTTGGACCTTGTCTTTCTGTGCTGCTGCTGCACTGGATGATGTATTTAGAGCAGTCCTGCCTTGGCTGAGAAATGCCAGCAGGTTGTGCTGCGGGGCTCCAGAAGGGCTTGCCTGTTCAGCCTCCCCCTGGCAGGGAAACCCCAAAGGATCTGTGAAAAAGTCTCCGCCTGATCTGGGGCTTCCTGGTTAGGCCTGGGTGATGTTCAACTTTTGCTTTGGCTGAAGTTATGTTTGGATTACGAAGTATGTTTGAAGGAGAGGTCCTTTGCAAGCACGGAGAACTTGCCCAACATCCTGCTGGTCCCAATTAAAAAGACTAAAGCTATTTGGACTGGATTGTACAATCTGTTTGAAAAAGCAAACAAATACCTTGTATTCATGAAAAGTGGCTAAATATTTTAACCCTTTCATGCTCAGACAGGTGAAATCAATTACACTGATTTGCAAGTCACGGACTTTTGCAAGTTGTTCCTGTTCTTTACTGCATGAAGATGACATAGCCAAAGCTTGTGAGTGTAAATACTGTTACATCTTCCACATAACTCTTATAACACTAAGGAATGAGAA